TGTAGTTTACTGACTTCCGTTCCATAGCATAGGAAGAGGGGAATTTCCTAGTCCCTTTATCAAGGCTGTTGGTGGTTCAAACCCACCAGCCACTCCATGGAAGCAAGACTGGGCAATCTACTTCCACAAAGATTTACCCCCTTGTAAACTCAGTTGGGGTCACTATGAGTTGGAATCGACTCGATGGCATTGGGTTTGGTTTTGGTTTTTTATCAAGGCTAAGGAGCTCTGGTGCTGCAGTGCCAGTGCCTAAGGCATTTGGCTGTAACCAGAAGGTTGGCAATTCAAGCCCACCAGCTACTCCACGGATGCAAGACCATAATGTCTACTTCCATAAAGATTTACCGCCTCAGAAACCTAATAGGGGTCCTATAAGTGGAATCTACTTGATGGCAGTGGGTTTTATCAAGGCCTCGATGGCACATAACAATTACAATCCTGATGCCAGAATATGACAAAGCATAAAAAAGAAAACCATAAACTGTGTATGAATATATATAACAAAAAAATCCTAAATAATATGTAAGTGTATCAAATCTAACATGATTCAACATTAGCAAATAGGTTAATATAATGCTTTGCATTATTAGGCTAGAAAGAAAAAAACTACATATGATCATCATAGTACATGATCTAAAAAAAAAAAAAAAACAACTCTTCATTAACCAGTGATACAAGGATGTTTTCTTAATATAATAAAGTATATTTACCAGAAACTGATAATAAATAATATAAAAACAGGGAACAATATAAGGATATTGTGCATGTTGTTCTAATGATGGCAATGAGATAAGGAAAAAAAAAGGCAAAATTATTAAAGGAAGAACCAATATTATCTTTATTTGCAGATTGATGTGATTATTTACCTACAACATAAAGAAAATCAAAAAGAAATTATTAGAGCTAATAAAATAATTAGTTATTCCAATAAAAAAATAAAATAAAACTCACTGCTATCTATCAGTTCTGCCTCATAGCAACCCCCATTGGGTTTCCAAGGCTGTGAATTTTTAAGGAACCAGACTGCCCCATCTTTCTTCCTTGCAGTGGCTGGTGGGTTAGAACCACTGACCTTTTGGTTAGCAGCTAAATGCCTGAACCACTACACCACTAGAGCTCCTTAGTTCTTTCAATACTTGGTAAAAAAAAAAAACTCCCCAAATTAATAAATGTCAGTAATATCCAATTAGAAAATGTAATAGATCTTTTGTT